TGTACAAAGTGGGTTAGCCACAATTTTTAAAACGTGAAAGGATGACTTATCTTACTGTTTGGGAAGTGTTATGTGAGAAGATAATTTTTATATTATGAACCCAAAGCCACAGGATTCTAAAACATCATATGCCTGGAGGGAGAAAGCAGTTGAGTCATCCCAGCGAACTTTGCAAGTAAAAGCCAGCAAACTTGAACCGGGAAATGTAAGCACACCCTGGGCCCAGCCAGCATTAGACATCTTTGCTTTTGAAATGTATTCAGGACTAGCGGAGGTTCTCCACTACGTAGAACAGACAGGTTTCAAGGAAGACCCATTAATTAAATCGGTTTTAAAATATTTATTGAGCACCTACTACTCAGGCTAGGCGCTGGAATTATAAAGATGAATAAGATTCGATCCTTGCCCTTAAAGAGCTTACATTCTATAGGGAGAGGGAGTCAAACATATAGACAAAGAGACATAAAAATGTTACAAACACTAAAACAGCAATTTAGATAAGGTGTAGTGGGCACATTAAAAAGGAAGTGGTCCGGTCTTAACGGGGAGCCGGATGGTTTCTGCAGGCTTGGTGGAAGAGGGGAAGCGCGGTGGACGCGCTGGTTCGCTGCCCAGGTAGGGGGCGGTCTCCGCGCGGCGCAAACCTCCCCGCAGGCGGCAGCGGGGTGAGCGGAGGCACCCAGGCGTGAAACTGCTTGCGCTGCTCGGGGATCGCCCTCACACCACTTAGCAGACAAGAGGTGAAAAGGGAAAGGAAACCACTTCAGCCCTCACGGCAGGGCACGTTTTAGGCATCTGGAAGTATGAATCCTAGCAAAGAGAGCCACAGGCAGGATCCAGCCCGAAGCGAGTTGCAAGAGTTTACGCAAGGTTTCCAGAAGGAGTCCCTGCGCGGTCACAGGTGTGGGCCCGCTCAGCGCCCGGCTCCGCTCCCGCTCTGTCGAGGCCGTGAGCCCCGCGCCCCGGCTGCGCCCTCGCCCTTCCGCGCCCCGGCTGCGCCCTCGCCCTTCCGCGCCCCGGCTGCGCCCTCGCCTCGAGCGCGCACGTGGGCCTCCCGGCTCGGCTTTCGCGCCCTCCTGAACCCGGGAGCCGGAAGGTTTCGCTCCTTGGGCTAGCAGTGCGGCAGGCACCGTAGCAGGGGCTCAAGGCCTCACGAGGGCGAGCTCCGGGGCGCTGGACGGACAAGCTGGGTGCGCGCAGTCGAATCTACCCCTGCATCGCGATCGGAGCCCGGAGGAGGGATCCCCTCCCGGTGCAGGGCTCGCGGTGGGACCCAGGCTAGGGCCCCCGCGCCTCGCCCTGCCCGCGGCTCCCCGGCG